ATCTGCCCTGGAGTGGGGCTATCTGCCCTGGAGTGGGGCTATCTGCCCTGGAGTGGGGCTATCTGCCCTGGAGTGGGGCTATCTGCCCTGGAGTGGGGCTTTCTGCCCTGGAGTGGTGCTCTCCGCCCCGGTGTGGTCTTCACTTTGGTGGCCCCGTTCTGCAACCCTTCAGCCATTGAGAAATCTCGAATTTTTTTTTCAAGACACCCAATTCTGTACCTGGAAAGAAAATTCATTCAAATTCCTTGAACTGCTCTGACGTGGGGCCGCATCTTCAGAGGCTCCCATAAATTCCAATTAAAGAAAAATGACTCGAAGCGAAAATAATTCATGCTCAACGTGATAGAATAGAATAGAAGTGTCGGCATTGAAGAAGTAGGCCCATGGCCTACTTCACGATTCCTGTAGTTTCCGTGACTTGATTCCACAAGGGATCCGACCTTTTAAATCCGACCTTTCCATAATTGACGATTGATTCATAGCTGCTGGACTTTTTGCAAGGCGCTAGGTACGCACTGGTCTCATCCGGACCCATTAATACTGATACGTTGTCGTCTCCCTACTAGAAAATCTCTGATCCATTCGAGTACATTACCCTCAATTCCCAGAGATTTCAATTTACGCAACAGCCGCTCATGTGGGACACTGTCAAATGCCTTGGCAAAATCGACGTACACTGCATCTACTGGCTGCCTTTCGTTCAGCAGGCGGGTCTATTCATTCAGAGCAGACAAGAGGTTAGTGGTGCAGGATTTACTGGCAATAAAGCCATGTTGACAGTCTGATGGGAGATATATCAACAGTCAAATGATCGATCAATCGATCCCTCACGACAGATTCCATTACCTTGCAAACGACACTTGTCAAACTGACAGGGCGATAGTTGCCCGGGCAGCTTTCGTCGGATTTTTTGAACAATGGTGTCACTTGAGCAACTTTCCAGTCAGCCGGCAAGATCCCTTCGTTCAAAGTTTTTCGAAAAATGATGTCAAAGGGCCAGCTAGGACAGTGGCTAACTCTTTTGAGTAATCTGGGTTGGAAGCCGTTCGGTTCACATGACTTATTAGGATTTAGCGTGATCAGGCGCTTGAGAACCTCTTCTTGTATTTCAAAACTTATTGATTAAGAGCCGACTGGGCGCTCCTCAGTAGCTGGAACACTGTTCAAGTCCTCTTCAATGAATACGCTACTAAAAAACTGATTAAGAACGTTAGCCTTGCTCACATCAGAGGATATCTTTCGTTGATCTACTTTCAAATCAGAAATACCGTCCTTTATTTTGCACTTCGAGCTAGCGTACAAAAAGAAGACTTTCGGGTTCTTTTTTGCATTTTTGGCAACAGCTTTCTTTAGTTTGATTTCGAACTCTTGCGTATAGGTTATAATCAGCATCGCTACGAGTCGGTAAATAACGCTGGTAGGCTTCCTTCTTGGTTTGCAGCTTAGCTAGAACTATACTGTTCATTACTGAGTTTTTTGGCTCCACCAAGCTTAATTTTAGGTACGCACGCATCAACTGCACAGAGAGAAAATTTCGGACCCTTAAGCGTTTCAGTAGGTGATAAGTGTTTCGAGCTTCGACGCACTTAAATTTGTGCGGCTAGCGCCGCACGGCCATTGGTCAGTGCGCTCATAGGAGGAGGTTGTGTGGAGCCGCCGCTCATGAATGCCACGAATCTACACTGCATACGATCAATGGGCGCAACTCAATTTTGTTAATTGTTTCAACTAACTGCTGTTCTTTTGTCAATAGTAATGTTACCGAACGACGTCTATACCATTCAATCACGCAAGAAGTTGATCATAAAATCAAAGATTTATTCTGGTAGTGCCGCGCGCAAGACTAAGCAAACACTGCGACTCTAAGTGACTGCCGTCTCCGTGGCTCAGTGGGCTAAGGCATGGTCGCGCGCACTCGACTCATGCAGACATAACCGTGTCCTTGAGAAATGACCATGACTCGGCCACTTTCATGTCCTCAATACAGTTCGAAATATTCACTGCATTGACTGCTTCACGGAGTTCATCATAGTTGCCTTTCGCAAAATTCAAGCGCTCACGCTTCCGAGGCGTCTTTTCTGAACAGCACTTAATACTGAAAAACAATGATTGTTGACGGCTTTTGCCCAACGGAGCCTCGTGACGAAGCTCATCTAACATTGATTCATCACTAGTAAACAACAGGGCAGAGATTAACGAAACTTTGCTAAGTTCACGTAACTTTTCGTACTTACGTTCAAAAAGTTACGTATGGCGTAAGTCAGTCAAAATTTGGCATTAACAAAACTGTCTTACGCATGACTCATCTGAAAAGGTATTATCGAAACCATCCAACTAACTGACCAATCAGAGGCTTTGGATTTGCTGTTCCTAGCTCCTGTCGACTCAGTGCGCAGAGCGCGTGGATGGAAGGAGATTGTGTCGTGTCAGCGGCATCAGCGTAGACTAACTAGGGTGCATATGGAGAAATAAGTGTGACGTTATCCAAATAGCAATGCACTTGTTGTGATCATTCATCAAAATTTCTTGCAATCAGGGCAAAAAAATTGCACTATTCCCATTCAAAACTAGAAGACTTTTTAGAGAGACCTAGAATTTAGAAAATTTTGTGAGTTGGAGTTGTGACTGTCAGAGAAATAAAATGTATAAAAAAAATTTTTAAAGACCACGTTTTTCATGTGGACTCAAAAGTAGAAAATAATTTTTCGGCAGCTACTGATCTCTGTTTGCTATCATTCTCTTGGTCTAGCTTCCCGCGCAAATGTTTCGATAATAACACTCAGTAGAGTCACGTCTACTTAGCTGTACTTACGCTAAACGTTAGCGGCTACGTATACTTAGCATGTTTTGATAATCCGGCCCCTGGTCTAGAATATTGGGAGTCTCTTTACTCCTATAATGGGTTAGCTTGGTAACGTGCTGGATTAGGGAGGAGTCTCTCACAGACTCCATGAACAAGGATGCTAAGCGATAACCATCCCTTGGACTAGGAGAGGATCCTTCTGTCCAGTCTAGCTCTGGATGGTTAAAATCACCAGCGATCAACGTGTGTGACCTACGGAAAGTCATGCTCGGTCAAAGACTGTTTAGTACTTTATCGTTATCAGAGGAACTGTTTGATGATCTATACACGACGCTTATGAGGAGGCTATCTTTGCTTCGAGTGGAAGTTCGCACCACACTGATTCTCTAGGGCCACACTCTAGCTCTGCAGATAACTTAAATTGCTGGGCCCCAAAAGAGCTTTTAACTCGCAGAGCTACACCTCTACTGCACTGCTATTCATTCAAGTTATGAAAACAATCAAAACCTGGCAACTGAAATTCAACATGTACAATTTTCCCCCCGTGATTTTTAGGGAGTGTTTCTGTAATACCAATAATGGATATATACTCGTATGCGATCACAGTTAACAGTTTACTTTTTTTGTTCAAACAGAATCCGAGTTCGCGTAAGAACATTTAAAAACTTTTTGTGCAGTTTCACTGTGATGCATGCGTTTACTTCCTACATTATTTACAGGCCTGGATCTGTGGACATGATTTCTTACTTGTCTACCAGCTCCGCTGACTGACCATGTGCGACCGCGGTGTTGTCTTGACATCGTGAGAGTGGTTGACCTGAGTTTCCGTGCCTTTTCGCCTGATTCTCTCCTGTCATTTTTGTGCGAAAATTCGCTCTCTATATAGGGGTAGCATCCTTCTTAACAAATACTGAATTAAACTCTGGGAATTCACTTAGTTTTCTCGCAGCCTTAAGAACATGCCCGACCTGGGCTGTATCCTGCAGCTAGAGACACCAGCAGCGGTCTACACATGGTACCGTTTTTCGATCGCAGCCTCTTGCAAGCCGTTATATCCCACAAGGACGTTAAGTGCCTTGGCAGAACAGTCATTATTAAACGCAGTGTCATCAGTTGTCATTTACCTCCGAAGCAATGCTTTCGGGAACGCCAAACCAAACAAGGTTAAATTTTCTTCTCTCTCTATCCAGCAGCTCACGAGTGCTCTCGCTAGCGAAATCAGAGATGACCTCTTTGCGGCCTTTACCTTCTGTGTTGTCGCTCTTTTCTGTTTTGTGCAGATGAGCTTTCATTTCTACCAGCTCGTTTCGTAACGAGTGCAATTCGTTACGTAACAAGTTCAACTCTTTCTTGTGGTTCTCTTCCCTTTCAGCTCTCTTCCTCAATTCTTGCTTGTGAGTTTCTTCCATTTCGGCATTGAAGACTGAGAGCATAGAAGTGCACCTCACTTCCACCAACTTTTCGATTTTTGCAGCGACAAGCGCAGGTTGCTGGCAGTCCTGGCAATACCAGTGTACTGTCTCGATTCTGCGAATAACTGGGCAATCTGTCGCGCTCAGCTTCGCACAATTGTTGCAGATGATATACCCGCAACGATCACAGGCCACTGTAGCGTTATTGACGTTAAGCGAAACCAGCTTGCAAAATTGACAAATTTCCCCTCGCTCATTTTGTGATTTGATCTTCGCATTCGGTTCAACTGGACTAGACGCCTTTCCGGTTAATCTTTTTCCTCTCTGTCTAGCATCATGAAATGCAAGAGCTAAAAAACAAAAGTTAAAAACTGAGTCAAGTTGAGGAAAAATTTTACAAATTTCCAATGTCCTGTAAAACACTGTTACCGACGCGAGAGTAAGCAGCTTTCAGATTGCGGTGGGTTGGGGGTGTACAGGTGTTCAGAGTAGAAGTAGGCAGAGCTTGGACGAGAAACAAAGGCTGTGCTGTTCTCGTCCTGTTTGACACTGGTTTCCCTCACTCGCTTCCCTCACTGGCTCTACAGCCCGCGTTATTCAAGATAAAAACACTTTTACTATAGGCTGGCTTGTTCTTTCTATTAGTACTCTCTTTTACTGACTTCACTAAAATTCGGTCATTCACTGACACGGTCCATAAAAAATAGATGCGAAAAGAGCTGCGAAACGGCATAGTATAAGGTAAAAATTAGGGACCGCAAAAACGTGCGTCCGCTCTCGATCACGGCTGAAACTGAGATGAACTCGCAATCACGACGAACGATACAATTGCGAGGAACACATAACGCATACAAACCTAAATGGGAAGTTTCACGAAAAAATAAATTGCAATATAAAATTATAATTTTGAGGAACATAAAAGGCCATACATAGATTTTATCATTCCTGATCCCATTCGGCGGATGCTGACATATCAAGTTAATATACACAAAAATTCGTGTAATTTTCATGTTGGCAAGCCGAATTTTTTTCATTATCTTTACTTGTTCCATAGGAAAAGATTTTGGAAGTAATTCGCTATACAATTATTGTTTTTTCCAAGTAAGCTATCCGCGCGTCGTCCCAAAAGTTAAAACTCTAGGGTTTTTTCTAAGCAAATAAATCCGCGCGTTGTCCCAAAAACGCAACTCTGACCTCGCAGGTGGGAGTTGCGTAGAGCCAAGCGGTGAGGCTCGTGCAGCGCCTCGGCGTAGCGTTGGCTGAAGTGTTCCTCTTTGTGCAGACTTGCTACCGTCCGCACGTTGCTGATCGCCTCCATGGCAATCTGACAAAATAATATCATTATTAACCAGCCACAACACACATGCGACTTTCAACAATGATTAAATTTCCAATTCCAATTCCATTCTCAGCCACATTCCATTCCAATTTTTTCACCAGTCTAATTTTTTCTAATTTCTAAGCACTTACTTTGCCAGCGCTTTGCAGGACTTCCGACTCAGTGATGGACTGCCCAGATAGAATTCTACTTTCAAGATACACAGCCACAAGCACCACGGGGATGAACGGTACGCACACGAGACCAAGTCTCCAGTCGTAGTAGAGAGCGAGACCCAAGCTCAGGCCCAGGGTAGTGAGCGCTTGCATGATGGTTCCTAGGCGCGATCCAGTCGCCTGAACAAGACGCAAGTTTGCTCATTACGGGGAAACTATCGAAAATACGGCGAATTTGGGTGTAAGTCTACTAAAACTATCAGAAGCTCTGAAAAATATAAAAAAAACTGTACTGTTTGTATTTCTTCATTTTACCTTCGAACATGATTTTTTCTTTATATTAGAAACCAAAATAGTTAGGTTTGGGCATTAAAAACTAGGGAGTAAAACCCTAACCAAATGAAAAACCAAAGATATTCCTGCGGAAAAATCGGACTTCGGCAGTCTTGAGCTAGCATTATTTCATCTTAACGGTTACAACGCGATTGTAATGGTAAGCAGATGCGTGCTCAATAAAATAAATTAAACCTTTCGATTTCACTACATGTTTCTTCGCATCAACCCCCAACTCATGCAGCGTATTTTGAGGACACAAAAACCTAATTCAAAAAGATTCACAGTATAATATCCACTATTTTTATAATGAATGGGATTGAATGCAAGAATAATCATGTTTTTCTTGTGTACTCATGTATGAATAGAAAGAATAAAGAGTTCGCGAAGACACTGCCTCACCCCCTGCACTGCAGCGGCGTCGCTAGACAGACGCGAGCACAGCGCGCCCACCGAATTCTCATCCATGTCGAACCAGCCGAGCTCTTGGCTGAGCATCTGAGAGAAAGCTCGGCTACGCAGACGCATCGTCAAAATTTCTCCCGACAGAGCGAAGAAATACGCCTGCAAATTGAGATACAGTTTTCAGGGTTTTTATTTATTGTATAGAAATCACGAGCACTCCAGTCATCCATGGTTATTATTAATGCAAAATTTTATAATAAGCGAATTTTAGTTAAATCTAAATCGTAAAATTAACTGTTCAGAAGAAGTTCTTCCGAAGAAAGTGGTAGGAGACACACCTGCATGAAGGTAGAGATGGCAGCGACAATACCGATGCACAAGAACAACAGAGCGTAGAAGTTTGCTTCGGCGCGAGCCTCTGCAGGGTCAGCGATGGACAAAGTCTGAAGAAATCCACCACTTGTTATAAAACATTCCGTGACAGAGGAAATTATTTCTACTAAAATTATTTCTTTTATTATTCACTTATGGTTGAACTATGCAGAGATTCCAGTCAGATAAACCTCTAAATCACCTTTGCGGCAAACGAAAGAGATTTAGAAACCACTCCATTTTTCATTCCATATCCTGGTTCAAAATTCCACTCAATATAATATCAATATACTGTATGATAATGCATATGGTATCCAGTATACTCTAAAGATTTCTACACGTTGTACTCAAGAAGGAAGAGTCCTGACAGTTTCTGTTTAGCCATAATTCCCTAGTCTAGTTAAAAACTTCAGTCAGTAAATGGATTTCAGTCAATATATTTCTTATTATGATGCTGGTATCCTGGATAGTGGATACTTTACATGTCTACCAAAAAAAGTCTCTGATGTAGGGTTTAAAAATCAGATGTCCACCAAAAGTCTCCTATGTAAGGTTTAAAAAAATCGAAAAAAGTCTTTGCTCAGCCACTATGTGCCACGTACGCCGAGGACGTCGCCGAAAAGGACGGCGTAGAGCGGCGTGCAGCTGCCCATGATGACGGAGCCGACGACGCCCAGCGTGATCTGCGGCCACTCTGTCTTGTTCGCCTTCAGGATCTCGCGCATCGGGAGAGTCGGGGGCTTTTCTTTCTTCTGTTGCAGGATGGTATCACATCATCAACCAAACATTTTGATCCAAACATTTTGATCATCAACCAAACAAAAAATCATCTCATATTTGTAAAATAAATATTAGCAGTAAATGGGATCTACTAATTTTAATTAGGGAAATCCGAAGACTTCAACTCCCATTGATCTTGGTTAGTGCTCCTGAGTTAAATCCTTCAACAGAATTTCAAAATGTAATTTGCATCCTCGCTTCGTGTATAAAAAAAACTTTGATTACAACTGTCATTGATAAGAGATTTATTTCAAGATTTTTGATACTAATAATATACGTTTAAAAATTACTTTTTAAAGACAACACTTCCAAAGAATCCAGTGTCTCCAATCTTACAGATGTACAATGAATTTCTCATTTAATTTTCGACAATCAACAAAATTAATTTTTCAATTTTTTAATATATAAAATTTTTTAATATATAATTTTTTGTCAAAATTATTTATTTATAATTTTTGGTCAAAATTATTTATTTATAATTTTTGGTCAAAATTATTTATTCTGTTAATTGATTCATGCATGCATTACCTCTGACTTCACACAAGTGTGCAAAATTTCAGTTATAAGATTTGTAGCTGACAAAATTATTTTTTCAAATTTTTTAATATATAAAAAGTCAATTCATTTATTTTGACATTTGATTCATGCATTGTCCCCAACTTTGCACAAGTGTGCAAAATTTCAGATCGATAAGATAAGTAGAAGTGTATTAAATTTCGATTACAAGATTTGTAGCAGACAGACAAACAGACAAGAACTGAAGTTAAAGTGAAGTGTTGTAAAAACAAATAGAAAGGCCACAACAACTATGATAAACGATTTTTCCTTAACAAAGCTCACAGTTCTCGTCCGCTATAAATTTTCAATCGATACGTTACCCGATTTCCGTACTTAGACTTAAGTCTCTTTCGCGTAGAATTGGCTCTTCTTTGATTGTACTCGTATTATTCAAATTGTTGCTTATTCAAATATGTAATTGCGACCACTTACTTTTCCCTGGGGAAGAGGCAAACGAATGTACACAGAGCCCCGAGAACGACGCTGTGTCCCCTGCGACCTCACCGATACTGTCGAGGATCCCAGTTTCCTGAAATAAATCACGAGATTAAGAGAGCGATCTCGAGAACGTTGGCTATGGGATAAAATAGAGGATTGGAGTCCACAATCAACAATAGTGATTTTACGAACAAGCCACACTATAAATAAAAAACATCAATCGCCAAATGTCATGAAAATGTTTGGTTATCTGGCTGAAAAGTCATGCTACAAGCCAACATGGAGTGGCTAAACTGAAAATGAATGCATGGAATTATTAAATTTGATTCGAATATTTCACAAGCTATCGTAATATCTGTGGCCTACTTAGAAATGGAGCGCCGTGTGGGCGACATGGCTAGCGAGGCGGTGATGTCGCTGATATCGTCCAGAACGTCGCGGTCCAATTCCGTCGCTGTTTTATACTCCGACTGCTCGGTGAGATCTTCCTCGAGAGCGCCTGAACAAACGACAACTTTCAACGTTAGAAGCAAGGGCTTCGTCATAAGGAAATTATTTGTTTGATTTGTTCTTAGAGGAGCGCATAACTCGAGAGTAGAACCAATTTTGTAAACATAATGATGGAGAAATTTGATCGATCAAGGTGAAATAAAAAATCATACTCTTAAAACCTTAAGCTCCAAAAGTTAAAGCTGCTCTGTACGATGACAAGCGAAGATTCGATAAGAAAAGTAATCTTTTAATATTCACGTTATTTCGACGTTAAAATCCTTTAACATTTAAACGGAATAAAGAAAATTACGCAATTGTATTTTAAAAGTCGAACTTTTTCTTTCACTGGGAGCAAGCTGAGCAGTGACGAGTGAATGATAGAGGCCTCTTTTGGCCATGAGCTCGTCGTGGGTTCCCATCTCTTCAGCCCTGCCATCCTTGAGGGCCACGATGACGTCAGCAGACCTGATGGTCGTAAGGCGGTGGGCCACAATGATCGTCGTGCGGCCTTGGCGAGCCTGATGGATAAAAAGAAAATTGTCCTTAAAACAATCAAGACATTTTTCTGGTGCATCACTTGGAAAAACTCTACGGTTGACAGAAGTGGGACTACAGGATTAGGTGCCTGTAGTCGCTGGAGATGCGTAGGCCAAGCGTCAGGTCGCAGGCAAGATTAGATATGTTGGGATCAGCTGCCGGTAGGAATCTAAGCGAAATTAGGAGCTACCTCGTCCCCTGGGAGCAAATACAGGCAGCGATACCTTCGAAACTGGTAATTTCTGTTGTAAATTAATTATATGATAAAAGTTATTACCGCAAATACAATTCTGAATTTGCTGAACTGACATCGGTGAAAATTACTGAACCTAATTTTGAAATGGCCTAACAGACATTCGATGAAATTCTGGAATGCATCAATTAATGGAAAGTTTTACCGAAGACAAATTTCTGAGTTAGCTTAAAATTTATGCAGCCACTGCGCAGTTTGACCGTGATTGACATCCTGTGAATGACATCAACGTACCTTATCAAGAGCATTTTGAACAATAGATTCGCTCTGGTTGTCCAGCGCAGAAGTCGCTTCGTCCAACAGGAGAACTTTGGGCCGCTTGACCAGAGCTCGAGCGATGGCAAGGCGCTGCTTTTGTCCACCAGACATCTGGGCACCTCGGTCGCCCACTTGAGTCTGGTATTGCTGCACAAGAAACATTTGATTTATGAACCAAATAATCACTAAATGAATGAAAATTATTACATTAATTTTTTTATGGAGAGGTATTCAAATTTTGCTGGAGTATTGAGCAGCTAAAGGCTTTCTAAACTTGAAACACCGATAACTTACAATACTCCTCCAGCTGAAACATTAACGCTCATTTTCGAAAACGATGCTCAAGAGTATTGAAAATAAAGAATAACGTAAATGATCTTCTAAATCAGTGGTTCCCAAACTTTTTCAGGCTGGCGCCCCCTTTGGCTCCCTAGTGAACTTCTAGCGCCCCCCACAGACACATAAAAACATACGCTTCTTTCTTGAAATTTAGTACGCTGCAATTTTAATAGATAAATGTTAAACACAACTGTGTATTTCACAAATAGAACCCCATTTAGTGAACCAATATGTTTTTAAGCTGTTTTTACTGTTTCAGCACTAGAAACCTAGGACGTCTCGGGCAAATTCACGGCCGGACTCGTGGCCAGTCGCACGACCAATCTCCAAATTCAATTATCAAGTAATATCTCCCAATCGGTGATTTTTAGCTCGCGACAATTTTTCTATTTTGTTTTCGTTCGCGAGTTATACAAATATAGGGGGAACGACCGGCTTTTCTTCCGGCCGGATTAACCAAGAGCCGTATACGTATAGCCGTGTAACTCGCAAACGAAGGCAAAACGAAAAAATTGTAGCAAGCTAAACATCACCGTTGCTGAGGTTAGGTATTTAAATACTAAGTTTCGTTCAAATCCATTCAGTAGTTTTGGATTAATTTCATGATTACTGCGAATTTAAGCGCGTATTGCTATTTAAATCACGAATGAAGGTGAAATAGAAAAAAACTCGTGAACAAAGGCACAATCGAATAAATTTTTAAGAGCTAAAACTTAACGTTCGGTAGTTAGGTCGGTAAATTCAAAATTTCGTTCGAATCTGCTCAATAGTTTGGAAAATTTTTTTTGAGAACCCGGTACTGCTATGTGAATATCGGCCCGTATTGCCATATAACTATGGCAAAAACAAATGAAGGCAAAATTAATAAAAAATTCACCAGCTTAACATTACCGTTAGGTCCTAATGAATACGTGTACCAATTTTCATCAAGTTGAGTTCATTAGTTTGAGAGATATTATTTGAACATTGAATTGGAAATTGGCCGTGAGATCGGCCCCGAGTCCGGCCGTTAATTTGTCCGAGACATAAACCAGGAGAGGTTAAGAAAACAGATCTGGGTGAAAAAAACATCGCTGGGAGTCATGTGCTGCACGTGTTGTGTACAAATCATCAAACAAACGTTCGAACTTCTGACTTCGACTTCGGACTACCGCCCCCCTATCGCCCCCCAAACGCCCTCTTCTTCCCTACCGCCCCCCAAAATCTTTCCACCGCCCCTAGGGGGGCGATATCGCCCACTTTGGGAACCACTGTTCTAAATTCTTTACGTATTTCCTCTGGCAAAACTTTCTTTTTTAAGGAGATAGGCTAGTCGGAGGCTATACTTTTCTTTCATTCGTGTATCGATTCCAGCCGCACAGCTTGCTGTTCCTCATTCGTAACCTAACTAAAGCTTCAAAATCACAACATATTGAAGGGTCTCCATATAGTCTTTTCACAATATAAGTTTTCGTCCCGAACACGAAAAGTATCTGAACAGTATTACTGGCGGCAGAGTTGATTCTGCTTATTTAGGCAATCAAATTCAGTAGGGGCAAAATATTTCTTGATTAGCTGTGATTGACTTCACAAAAAGTCTTCTAGACAACATTGTATCAATCAAATTGCAATAAATTTCTTGGAGCTCTAGCAGAGGCACAATAGATTGCGTATTATCTTAATGCTCACTTGAACGAAATCAAAGACTGAAGTGAACATTTCAAACAGTTCAAATTCTCTAAATTCGTAAAACATGCTGTAGCTGCGCAATACTCCCGTCTATTGATGTCCAGGTTCACGCTGGTAACGAGTAGGATGCGCTGCATTCGTACTGGCTATTTTTAGGTGATCAGCGTTGGGAGTGACTGCGATCTCGTCGCGTGAATCTAGTGAAATTAATCAGTAATTTTATTTACATACATTGCTGAATCTCAGTTCTATGGTTATTATATCGCGGCCGCGGCGAACTACAAGATCTCTTTTAGTGGCGGGTGGACGGGGGCACCAGACTTACCTTCTCTCTTATGGTTACGAGAATTTCGAATGAGACACCTTGAATTTCCTAATTTACTTTAGAAATTAAAGAGCACAAACTTTATACGAGTGGAAACCCAAGTTTCATGTAGTTGAGGTGTTCTCGCTTGTCGAGAATACTGAATACACCAGGAGGCCAATTCTTCTACTGCGAAATTAGGCGATTATCTCTCTACTCGTAGTTGGTTCATGATCATGAGTTTTCGTGTTGCGGTTCAATGGTTTTTGACAAGGGGGATTAGGGTTAGTGTTTGCAGCAGATATTAACAGGTCTCATTGTTGAGGGCTTTACGTTTACCTAGAAATGATTCGCAATGTTTTTTGGAAGCTCCAAATAAAATTTTGTCCCCTGGATTCTAAAATGTTTTTATTATCACTATCGCGTCAAAAATTTACGGATAGCCTATATATGTTGGAAGCTCTCCCACAACAATGCTAAGTCAACATCCAGTGCGATAATACCTTAGGAAGTTTCATGACGAAATCATGAGCATTGGCCTGCTTGGCGGCAGCGACGACGTCCTCGAAGGAGATTCCGTCTCTGCCGTAGCGGATGTTCTCCTCGATGGTCGTGGCGAAGAGTACGGGCTCCTGGCCGACTACGCCGATCTGGTCACGCAGCCAGCCGATGTTCAGCGAGCGCACATCAACTGAGTCCAGAGTTACCTGAAGAAAGCGAGAACTTTCCTCTTGAGTGTTATGGTAGAACAAAAGGATTTTACATAGAACAGAACTATTATATAGAGAAAAAAAGCTATTTTGCGAATAAAAAAACAATTTTACCAAGAAAACAACTATTTTACCAAAAAGCTATTTTGCGAAGAACAGAGCTATTTTACAAAGAAAAGCTACTTTAAGAACTACTTTCAACTTAGTCGCAAGGAAATAATGAACCTTCTTTGTACAAAAAAGGAGGAAGTGCTGCAAACTTTAAAAATAAAAGCGTAGAATTTTTCATCTTAATTTTGCAATCTGGAGAGAACAATGAAGCGTCTCGCTCAATAACGTCTCAATTTTCTTGGTATGTCTTTATAGGTATAAATTTTACACAAGGTAAGAAGTGCTCGAACGTCGTGCCAAAAATAACAACATGACACATAACTCATCGGATTCGTGTTATCGCACCTCTCCTTGTCTGGGATCGTAGAAGCGCTGCAGCAGCTGAATGCACGTGGATTTCCCGCAGCCCGAGGAGCCCACGAGGGCGACGGTCTCGCCAGGCTGAATGCGCAGCGACAGGCCCTGTAGCACCGGCACGTCGCTCCGGGACGGGTACTCGAAGTGAACACGCCGGAATTCTGCGAAAAATTCAAATCCCAACTTGACATTTACGATCACTCATAATTCTCACATCTCCGTTACCATAATTTTACTTTGTACATACACTACCTTTGTTATGTATTTCCCAGTACAATTACATATATTAAACAATATTTCGGGGTATAACTCACCAATGTTTCCGTGAACCTCATTTGGTCTGAGGCCGTCTTCAGACATGGGGTCGATGGCAGAGGGGCGCTCGAGGATGTCATACACGTTGGCAGCAGCACCGCGGGCGATGTTGAAAGCTTCCACAAATGGGGCAACTTGACCCATGTTCAGTGCGCCAACGAGGACACTGAAGAAAACCTGCAACGGGAAACTAAACTTTATTCTCATCTAGCAATGTCACCAAGCTTGTGAAAAAAGTTGTCACAAGCAAATTGAGAATATCATGCGAAAGTAAAACAACGCTGCAGCACACCTGATATTCGATCTAAAGAAACAAGTTTATCAATAGGATACCTACCAAACAATCAATATTAATGACGAAATCTCACCACAATAAGTACGGCAGGATCGTAATCGCCGTCGTTGGGGTATCGGGAATCAAGGATGAGTCCTGTGCCATACCAGAAGGCGATGGAGTAGGACGCGTAAATGATGAGCCACACCAGACCCAGGCTGATGCCCGAGAACATGCCGCGTCTTACGCCAGCGTTGCGAGCGTGTACCAAGTTAGATTCGTACCTGCCAAGTTATATACAGTTTCTTAACACTTGCTCGGCATTCCAATGAGGGCGATTTCCTTAAACAATTGACATCTAAAGGGCTAAATTTACATTTATTCCTCCAAACGAATACCTAACAAATTTGGGACGCCTGTCGGAGACCACCACTGCCGTGCATCGAATGGACTATCATGATCCCTTGATTCCCTTCCCCCAAGAACGTAGCCTATAACACTTTTTGACTGTAACATTATCAGCCGCAAGCCACCAGACAGATCACATCCACTGAATTAGATCAATCAGCCCACAGGAAAGTAGCCTGACGTAGAATGGCCCAGCATCGTCTGCCAGTACGCGAAAAAATTTTACACCACCCGGACGGAGCGCGCCGGAGCCGTCCGTATTTGTCCCGTGTGTCGAATCAGCCTACGGTCGTACGGCCACGAGTCGTACGACGATAAATTTTGGGACAGAACTATGCTATCTGAAACCTAACCCCTAGATGCTGTCAGCTAAAAGTTACGTAATTTAGCGAAGCTGCGGAAGTCGTTCGTCGAAGGACGGTAGATTTTGGAACAGAACTATGCTTTCTGAAACCCAACCCCAATGTTGTGAGCTAAAAGTGACGGTCTGGTGGTGCACGGCAGGATGCATGCAGTTCCACTGGCGACCTGGGTTGGTTGAGCGCAGCCCGTTGTCCGCTAGTTACAGTTCGAGCTGAAGTCAGGGCATGAAGTAATGATTCGGTGCAACGTTTAGTGGTGGACAACCATTACACTCTGGGCTATTCGATTCTGAATATAGTGGCGTTAAGCTCCTAATATTTAAAGCAAGATGATGTCATGGGCTGGTTACTAACGGCAGAGTTAATGTGCGGCTGATTGGTGGTCATCCGGAAATATGCTAGGCGTTCCTTTCAGGGCTGATTGGTGCAGAAATCTAGTGGTGCATGGCTGCGTACCCAACAAATTTTATAACAATGAAGTTATATCCGTACCTGCCTCGTTTTAGCTTCTCAACCTTTGGTCACCGTTCACGTGAATGTAAATACAGCAATCTATTCACAATAATTATTGAAAGGTGAAATTTATATTCATTCATCGCAAATTAAAAAAAAATTTAGGACATGAAAAGTAAAATAGAACATAATCTCTGATCAAATTTAAATATGTAATAAACAGAAGTTTTTACCTTTTAACCTCTTTAGTTTCTCCACCAAAAGCTAGGACAGTCTTGATACCCGATAGAACTTCTTCAGCTATACTGCCAGCCTTGGCATACTCTGCCATCTCCTGAGTCGTGAGTGACGACTGGATCTGCATATCAATATAAAAACTGGAAACTATGAATAGAAAAATATATCTTGTTGAACTTTACGACTTTACGCATTTAAAGGCGAATTTACAATCGGTGTAGAATTTCTTGAAAATGTTCATGTAAATAAGCCATCCAACCATAGTTACTGCATCAATCAGCAGGCATAATCATTTTACGCTTCCGTGGATCTTATAGTTCTAAGCAACATTTAGCAAATCACGTAACGGTTTTACTTAGCAGTTTCACAGACAGAGCATGTGACAATAATAAAAAGTTTGTATTAGGTATACGACGTAAGCAATTTATCACTAACAAAATTTCCGTTGATGGCGATAATATTTTAGCAAAGGCACCTATTGAATATCCTAAAAAAAACGTAGATACAGTTTCTCTATACATAAGTAGTTAAGGACTAACCTTTGATATAAGCCCTGCGGTGATGGCTAGCAGAGGGAACACCGACATGATCACAAGGGTCAGCTCCCAGCCGTGCACGAAGGCAATAATCACATGCGCTATGAAATTCACAAAGAAGAACACAATCATGCCCACTTTCTCTCCCATGCCTTCCTGTAGCTTATTCAGATCTCTGTAAAATGAAGACAATTTTTCAGTATGATTTTTTCGTAAAATTAAATGCACAAAATGTTCATCTCAAAAATTTCATAACAAATTTCCATTTCAAAGAACACTGAATTAAAAAAATAAAAAGTTTGCCACAATTACCACCTAAACTTGGCTGGTGTTCTGGAAAGACACATTATTTATTCTAAAAGTCACAAATATGGGAAAAAATCAATAATGAGGACATTGATCATTATAATGAACACAATGCTCGCTATACACACTCAACTGACTCGGTATATAATGAACACAATGCTCGCTATACACACTCAACTGACTCGGTATATAATGAACACAATGCTCGCTATACTGACTCGGTAACTTTGGAAGCGAAGTCGTTCGTTTTGTGCGTGTCGAACCAGCCCATCTCTTGGCGCAGAGTGCACCGCAGAAACTGCGTTCGTATCCTGTGAACCTGCAATGAACAAGTTTTAATAGCGTTGGGATAACAGGCAAAATGCATAAGATTATTCATGTACGTAGTGGGTCAGTAAGCAGTCTGTTGATGATGTGCATCAGGTGCTGTGAAAATTAACCGGGTTGCAGGCTAATTTTCCGGTTAACAGTCGATAAATGCAATATATTTAGTACTCGATTATTGCAATAAATGTAGACACGCATACATGTGTGACGGGACGCATATTATGTGATATTTTTTTTTATTTTTAGGAGCACCGTTTTGGCCGCGTGTTATTTTAATGATGTTCTTTTGTTAGATTAGTAACTCAATATGATTGTATATATTTTTATGACTAGAATATGGAATCTCGTTACTGTGATATTATTTTGTATGACTAAGGATTGCGTAAACATATTTTTATTTCGTAACTGTAACAAGGAATCTCCTTTGCTCTGATATCTGTCTGTAGCGTTGCGTTGCAATCGTCTGCTGGGCGCCATGCGTCGTCTGCTAGCCCTGACAAGTTTATAGACTTATTTCTGCATGTTAATCGTAAAACATTACTTGACCTAAGATTTATTCGCTTTAATGTGCAATTATTTTGTCGAAGGACTTTATTCTTTTCCGATAATCGTAATGATTTGCTGTTGTCCGAGAGTCAGTGCTGTCAACCTACGATACTATCATTAAAGAAAAGACGGCTAGGCCGCGATCTTGCGTAAGGAAGCTAGACATCTTAGAGGTAGATGTTCTATAAGACGTCGATTATAACTTGTAGTCATGTTGTCAAATGTTTAAACTCTCCATTAATATGATTTTATTAGGTGATAATACTTCTCATTGTATTTGATAATGCTTGGTCAATGTTCATTTGCTAGTCTATTAACGAACTGGTATCGACTCACGCGCTTGCAAGTTAATTATCCTCGAGAGTTATTCTATCTCATGTCAACTTTCACTTATCATTATTTGACCAAAGGATTATATTATGATTCTATTTTATTGTGATATATTATATTATCTATTTTTTTCATATAGACGTTTTTATCAGCCTATTTCTTGTACATTGTAAACGGGGTGTTGAGGTAAGCTCATTTTAGCTGAGTTACCCCTCGCGGGAAAGTTGTGTGTGCTCAGTGTTACTGGGTTGGGGTACACACGTTTCGACTCTAATTCAAGTAGCCAGATCTGGACTTCCATGAATAAACTCCACCGTGATTAAAGAGATAACTCTTAATGAGTTCCTCTATAGGAGTAATATATTTATCAGCGTTCTGGTAAAGCTTCTGCGGTACCGTTCACGCCTCTCGTGCCGTGGGAGTTACCGATTACACCTTCCGCGCTCGAGAGTAATCGGAACTTTGCAGTGCATTAGGGCTACAACCACTAGTCGCTGCGGCTGGTCGTCGGCATCTCGGTGCGGTTAGTTCCCGTACCACTTGCTGTCCGTTTTTGTGATTTGGCAGTGTATTAGGGCTAGAACCCCTAGTCTCTGCGGCTGGTCGTTGGCATCTTGGTGCAGCTAGTTCCCGTACCATTGGCTGTCCGTTTTGTGATTCGCTGCGGTGCATTAGGACCAGAATCCCTAGTCTCTGCGGATGGTCGTTGGCATATTTGTGCGGCTAGTTTCCGTACCATTTGCTGTCCATCTTTGTTATTCTTGCGGTGCATTGGGGCTAGAACCCCTAGTCTCTGCGGCTGGTTTTTGGCATCTCGGTGCGACTAGTTCCCGTACCATTTGCTATCCATTTTCTTACTCAACTGTGTATTAGGGCTTATACTGTGTGGTTTTTCGGCTGTTTGTACTCCTGAAGTGTCAAGCCTTTTCCACTGAACTTTTGGACTAAGACGAACAATAAATTGTGCGCCTCGTATGAAGAACCTTGTAATTCGCCTGAAGATTACCAGTATACTACGAAAAGTTCCTTGTGCTCATTTCTCCTCTCTCCAACGCAAGGGAATTTAGAGCCGGACCAAAGAGCGGCTCTTTAGCCCTTGTGTTTAGAATCAGCCGAAAGTCTCCACCAAGTCGGCACGCTACCCGTAATTATTTCAACTTCGCGGCGGTGTTTCCGGTTACACATGCAATGAACGTGTTATAGTTCTGTAAACGTGGAACAACCACGCGACCTAACACGTATATACACGATGAAAAAATACACCTGTATGAAATAGTTCAGTATCGTATCGTTTGATTGTAAACTGGTCTAACCTGTCCTTCTGCGGCGTAGTTTAGACACGTGACGAAGATGTAACCCGTCACCAGCTGCACGCCGCCGATGATTGCATTGCCCGCACCGAAACGAATAACGTCGCTGAAGAAATCATCTGAGTACATGGCCTGGAACGTAGTATTCGCCCTGACGAAGTACATAATTATTTCTTTTTTAGCAGCAAGTAAAACTTTTCCTCGTCATAATTGTGAAAAATGTAAACAGCGTACGACCAACATCAATTCTTGCACAATCGCACAACAGTAACCACAACAATAATACAACAGTATATAAATTAGCTGTCCATGAGCTACTGTTCGACATTTGATGGTGTGGTCAAGTTGAATTTTTAGCGAACTACTTACTCCTCGACTGTCATGTTGAGTTCGTATGCGACGACGGTTAGGTTGAAGTCGCTGTAAACGAAGGCGTTGGTTATGTCACCGAAGAGGATGGTCATTGCGGGCATGCATAGCCCGGCCAACGATGCTGCTGCAAGCGCTAAGATGATCAACGCGCGCTCAGTGCAGGTGGAGTAGCGAAACTAGAAGAATCACCACACATTATGGATAAGTAAGATATTTCTAGAACAAATATTGTATAGTCTCAATTGGACAGTTCTTGTGTCAATTTAACATTGATATTTGAAACAGTGAATCCATGTTTCCACAGAAAACCTGAAACATTTCTCTCTGACATTTATTTCCTACCCTATTTGCACATTTTTAGCAACAGTACTTGTGGTATAATAAACTGACCAGCTGAAATACGCCCACTGGAGGCTTCATTTCTTCCTTTTCCTCCTCTTTATTTTCCGATTTCTCTTTCTCTTTCATCTTGAATGGTCGCCTGAAAAGAGACATATTTGTAGAAAAGTTACATATAACTTTCCAACGAAGTGATTTAGACTGCAACTATTTGCAAAATCTGAAGATGAGTAATCAATAATGGACGCGAATCGATCCCTCGCGACAGTAGCACAGTACCATCGAGTCAAGCTTTTTCATTGAAAACGTGTATTTGTATCATGTATACGCGCCGTCATGCAGCAACCTAATTCTTCCTACCGTGAATTGAGTGCCAGGTGGCCATTAGTGATAGCGAGTCAAAGCACATGCACGAAAGTGTACCAAAAAATACTGGAGTCGACAGTGTTGGAAGAAATTAGAACACAATCAGTTCGGAATGTTACCCACCGCACGGTGTTTAAGCACCTCTACACAGCGTAAAATAAGGATGATAGCCGATTTAACGAACCGAAAGAAGTTTCAGCTATTCCCAAAAATCTATTCTTCAGAAATTGTGTTTATTTTCAAGTATTTAGTCAGCCAGTAGAAATATGTAGAGGCTATTGGACTTCAAATCCTAGTAACAATTGTGTCCGGATATTACCGAAATACGAGCAGTACCTATTTCAAGTTTTGGAATCAAGGCACCGCTGGATGTTCGGATAAACTATTTAATGAAACTATAAATTTAAAGAATAATGTTATTCTGGCACAAGAAAAAAAACTCAAAACAACAGCTAAATGGGATTTGTATTATGAAACAGGTTTGAATTATAGGCATGTTTCTATTTCATCACTTTCGTTTAGAAATAATCATGAAGTTTCGAAAGACGATTTGAAGAAGACGTCTCCACATCTCGGGGATTATCTAACCGGAATAACGTTGAGTTATACAAGCGGAGAAAAGAAGGGTGGAAACTTCCACATACGCAAATGTTGGTTCATTTAAAACTTAAATAATTATGTAACCCTCAAACTCATTTGCTCATGTGGTAAAGAAAATGATGTGTGTATGAAAACTTGTGACCACATTAAAGCCTGATAAATTTGTAAAAATATCCTCACTAACTGCTGCAAGGAAGCCGCTAATTCAGGATTGTCATCAATTATTTTGAACAAAGTAGTACCGTCTCTCACCATTTTGGCGGCTTCTTGTCGGGATGGGCGCCGTCGGAGACAAAGACTGCGGTGTGGTCTGCCTTGTGTTCAGGGGAAATAGATTCCGAGGTGCCGTTTATACAAGGCTTTGGTTCCTTCGTTGTACAAGTAGTTAAACAATTACTTAATCACAGTAAAAAATGAGCTAATCAAAAACTAGAAGCGTTATCATTATTTAAATTATTCCCTCAGATAGATAATAATATGTACTATCTTGCATCAAACAAGACGAGACTTTCTAATCAAATAGTCCCATTACATAATTGTAGTTGTTAAATGTATTTACTACGCCATTTATTACACAAATTTAGAGGCGTACCATAAACTTCTAGCAACAACTGGCTCACCTCAGCAGATTCAAGCTCAATGTTGGCATTCCCAGTAAATCTTCTAGAAGCACGTGAGGTCTGAGGACTCTTGTTGTGGTAATTATTGTGAGGCGGGACAGAGCCCGAAATGTGCTCGTAGCGGATGGAGTTAGTCACCATCGCTGTAGCAATCTCTAAATAGGCTTCTTAGAATCAAATCACATCTAATACTTATTGGCTTTATCTGCAATGAACAGTTTTATGGAAAAGTTTTTGTTATTGCATCAAAAAAATGGATATAGCACCTTTGAACAAACAACACTGAGAGTCCAACAATTCTAAAGTAATTCTACAAAAAAAAATAATTTTTCATTCAACCCCCAAAAATTTAACACTTTCAAACGCGACCAAATTAAGGCAAAGTCAATAAGAATGTTCGGTACAATTAAAAAAGCAGTTAGAACTTTAATACCACTTAATCATATAACCAGAAAACAATGACTTGCCAACATCGCAGTTGACTTGCGGTTAAGGAGCCGAAGTTTACTACAATTTACGATATAATTTATGCTGCGATAACGATTTATGGACCCAAAAAATTTGGAGTTCATTAAGCTCTTGTAAGCCCTAGAAGCTGGTAAGAAAGAGGGCTTTGCTCTGAAATACGCAGGGACTGCAGGCCACATCCTGGAAGAATGTGCATCCAGCATACCATCAAGAATAATTGAGCATGCATGTGATCGCTAGCCACATCCACTAGTATCAAAACGTTATAAGCATTGAAAAAACTGCTAACCAAGGCCTCTGTTCTCTCATGAAAGGACAGTCGGAACAGAAAACGGTTGCGGATATGTACTATCTTGCTATGGAGGAGGTAGTAATTTGGAAAATTTTGGCTGGCATTGTACCTTGTAAAAAAAAGAAAGATAATAACGTCACAGAAGTAACCGGCGTTCAAAGTGATCGCGGAAGTGGCTTTAAAAAGGCAGGACTTTCCCATATCACATTACTGAGCGAATTACGTGATGAACCTCATGACTGGCGGGCGGAATTACTCAAGGATGGACGTAGACACCTAAAACATATTTCTTGGAATTAGTGATACCAAATATAATAAAATAAAGACCAATTGAAACTGTGCTACCGTCTACACATTCCGACTAGTCCGCGCAGTTCATCGAAAACTATGCTCGGTATCTCAGATATCGCTGCAACTGTGCATGCTTCGCGCCGGCTTTAAGACTGCGTAGTTTTCCCGTCCACACGCAACGTTTTATCTGCAACGTTTTTGTCAGAGCGTCATCACCCTCGATGTCATTTGTCTCTCTTAAGGCTGGTAGTCAGAATGCAGCGAAGTCCGAGAGCGAGTTTTTCGCGACCATCGTGTGAAATCCTTCTGCCCGAAGCTCGGCCAGTCGCTACCCTGGAGCTTGTACTCTTTGTAAAATGATATCTGATATCCAAGCAAGACCCTTTTTCGCGGCAACTGGTCGTTTTCAGGTGGCCGAGGAATGGCCATTTTACAATTGTCCATTTGTGCCGCCCACTGCAGTATTTGTTGAAGATTAGGAGGGCGTTGACCACAGTACATCCACACGATGGTTCAAACATAATTTCCTGTGCAATTTTTTACCTTTTCTCAACGGACTGCCACTCACTCAATTCATCACTTTCATTCATTTCTTTCATCACTCAATTCATGACACTGAACCATCGGTCCCCTCTGGTGAGAACGTGTCACTGATGGAATGGTATCATCACTGTCGGAAAAAGGTTCATCACGTTTCTTTCTCTTAGATCTAACATAAAACTACACGTTTCCATCATGAACAGTCTGAAAATACAAGAAAGTGAGTCGTGAAATAAAAAAATATCGCAAAATAAATTTATCAGCAAATTGTTGCACGACCCATATGTGGGTCGTATTGCAGTGACATGATAAATCTCACACTCAGTTGCAAACCGACCCACAGGTTGGTTGTGGAATTTATTGCGTTAACATGCAGCACATTATCAAATATACATATATACACGCACACACATCCTCCCACTTCAATATCTCGGCAGGCACTAACGTGACGGTGACGTTCAGTGTTGCCAGGTTTTTTCTTGGCGAGAATACCAGATTGCCTAGCTCAAAATACCAGAAATATACCAGAAATTTCATCGTTCAAAAAAAGACTAATACCTCCAAATTTTATAAAACTATTCGTCAGAAACGTTGGTTAGAAAAGAATTACCTTATGTACTGTGCAGTTATCTGGCTTGACGATAATAAGCCAAATTGAACACGCTATATTTTTTCCCCTCTGTTTGGAACATTTTGACACTTTTCTTTTCCTGTGTTTGATTACATTGACAGTTTTTCATTTTTTTATCAGTGTCATTGTGGCACTTTTTCTTCTTCGCTCAACATGAGCAAGCCACGGAAACAGGTCATCTTTATTTTGCTTATTTACGTACATGCTTGCATAATACATTAATCTAACATTTCGGGTGTGATCACTTGTTGCGGCTGAGCAGATAGCTTTTGGTCCGAATAAGGGACTCCAGTACCGTAGTTGAAATTTTATTCCGTTGCTTGTTTTTCACATAGGTGACTTGTGAAAACACTTGCACCACGAATGCTTTGGAGACAGGTCAAAGTAGACAAGTGATGCAGTAGGCAGCCAGTTCCTTGAATGGATGATAATTGTCAAGATCAGTGAAATGTTGAATGGCACCCCAGAATTCAAGTGGCACTCCACTCTAGAATTCAAAACCACCAAACAAAAATGGTGGAGCTTGCGTCGCAGAGATCGGTTCGACATCCTCACTCGTCCTAGGCCATATCATCAGTTCATCACTGATCAGTAATCAATCGAAGATGGATCATCACTCTCATGCTCATATTGCACTAATCACTTCTGTTAAATGTTAACAATTAAATTGGGGTTATTTCATCAAGCGGTAAACTTGCGGTTCTAAAAATAGCGGGAAACCTCTAGTCGCGCCACTCTGAAGTTAATCTATATAATTCACGCCTACGTTGGAGGAAATTCAAACTTCAGAGGTGGAACTTAATGCAGTAAATTTGCAGTAAGTCAGAAAATACCAGAAAAATACCAGATTAGGGCAAATATACCAGATCTAAAATGTTCATACCAGACACCGTCTGAAAATACCAGATTTGTGAAATCTGGTATAGAAATATACCATCTGGCAACGCTGGTGACGTTCTGACGCTTGCGGCTTTACTGCTAGAGCAACCCAAACATAGCCGCACCAAGAGCCTCAGGCAGTCGGCAGTTTCGGCTCCCGCACGTGACGTGTTAAGCTCCGACATAATAAGCTTTTATCCCATTAACTGTAAGCTGCATTTACGATCTTCAAATAATACTATATAAACCGTACCGCTGTACCTCATTAATCCCCGCACTTACTACCACTTACCGAATTAACTGAGGGGAGTGACGGAAAACGCACTCCCTCCACAACCCAACTGCAAACACGCTTTGGGGAAGGAAGCTCACCGTCGTTGGACAGAACTTCGTGGTGAGGGGCTCAACTTACTGTGTCAGGGCAATGCAAAACTTAAAATTTACAAACGAAAATCAACATAAATAAACCAATTACACACAAGAAACAGATAACTTACAAACAAAACTAATCAACAGACAACAATCATTATGGGCATTGCCGTTAAGCCCCGTCCACACGCTCAAACTTATCGTCAGTCTTGCATGTCATGCTAGGTTTGACGACAAGACGGAGCGTGTGGACGCTCAAAGTTTGACGTCTTGCATGACGGGTGGGCGGAGTTTGAGGTTTGACAAACCTGGAAAAGACGGATGGGCGAGACCTTTGGGTTCATGCAAGACTGACGATAAGTTTGAGCGTGTGGACGGGCAACCGACTAATTTGTCTAACTTTTACTCTATATCAGTCTATATTGATGATGAGAGCTGTGGCATTGTTCCTCGCTAGGTCTAGTTTTTCATATCCCAGGATATCCGACACTGGTTTAGCGATTTATTTTGTTGAGTTTATGGAGTTATATCGTAGTTTCCCATGTTTATGGTAAATTCAATCAAAAAGCTACAGTGAGAAGAACAAGAGAGCACTGGCCTATGCGGCATTGATAGCTAAGTGCAAAGAAGTAACGACTTTGTAACGAAGAAAATAAACTCTTTATCGAAAAGAATGTGCCAAAATGAAGTCGTCAATGCTGTCTGGTGCTGGTAGGGATGCTGTCTATCAACCCTCATTGTATTTTTTAAAAACATTTTTTGGTACTACCGCGTACGTTTGCCTCTCTCTAACCTAATTATGGTGTCACAAGCTGCTCTCACTAGCTGCAGCGAGCAGCACTAGCTCGTCCATTGCCGCGAACGCACTAAAAACTGGAGGAAAGTTTGAGCGTGTGGACGCTCTTCAGCCTTCCGTCAAAATCGCTCAAACCTGGCATGACATGCAAGACTGACGATAAGTTTGAACGTGTGGAAGGGGTCACGGGGCTTAAAATAGAGCTTCCTAGGTACTTCATTTGGCTGACGTATGAAGAAGTTCCAGAATTCGCATTCAATATGAAACTATCTCTGCCCCCGCTGCATTAGTTCCCATTTATTTCAAGAAGCTTCGGCAATTCGTTCACTGACTCCTGCAACAGCAGCCAATCCAGTTTGTCACTGATGCTTGGTTTCCTATTTTGATTGCGAATAATTGAGCTAATCTAATAGAATCTTCTGCCCCGGGTTGTTATTGGAGTTAACATGGGGTAAATCCTGTAAGACAAGCCTGACTACCTTTAGAAATCAGGACGTAAGCATGGGCCCTACGGGAATGAGCGCGTCTTGGTTTCCTGCATAGAGACGCTTAACGGCATATAGCATTTTTAATTTCTTTGGTGCATTTCCATTTTTCAGAATCAAACCACGGCTTTAAATTTTTTAATTAAGGGTTGAACAGAGGCGATAGCGAGTCTCAAATCCTCTCCCTCAATCACGCTGGGTGAAAAGAACTCGCTTCTGAAATTCAGACGGAGGCAGCATGGACCAAATTTCAGAGCAGACAGAAAAGTTATTACAGGAACTTCCTGTAATAACTGTCCTCTCTGCTGTCAGGAACCGTACCACATAAAACGTACCTACTAAAATATTATGGGGGGGATACACCAAACGATTACAATGTTTTTTCTTTATCTGAAGACGTGTAAAATTGAAATACCAAGTAGGACAAACGGTTATGCCCCGTTCTCACATAGCC